CTTCCGGTTGGACGGAGCGATGCGGAGAGCGCGAAGTCACGGCGAGCTACGAACGACAGATTGGCTTGTGTAGCTCGTAGCGTCCATCGCGGTACATCATAAGGTGATAAACGAAATATATCAGGTGGCCTAGAGGCTACAGAAGTATAGACGCTTTACACACGCGCCAGATTGAGCCGCCATACCTGCCCTTCTCTTATCTTACCGAGATGCCGAGCCACTGAAGCGGGCGTTGACGGGTCTTCACAAGGGCCTATGCTGGGCACAAGAACACAGTAGCATCTAAAATTGCAATAACCTGTCCTACTGTGGTAATGATGAAGTGAAGCGAACGGAATAAGAGGGAACTAAAACTGAAGGTCAGTTATGGCGGCGCCCATGCACAGCTGCTGTAAAGCGTCTATTCTTTCTGTGTGCGTGCGCGCGCGTGTGTGCTTTCTTTTTTTGCTACTAAGCAATATTCCTCAAAGAAAAAAAAGCACGCATAAACGTGAAAAAAAAAAAAAAAACAAGTTGTCGGCTGTCGGCGCGTTTGTTCCGCGGTGGCGAAATCTGTAGGCGAAAAGATGCGAAGCCGCGAAGAGCGCGACACTGCGGCGCCGATCGCCGGAACGCCGGTCGCCTAGAGGTGGACGCTGTTTGAAGTAATTGTGTGTGTGTGTGTGTGTGTGTGTGTGTGTGTGTTTGTGCGTGCGCTTTCTAAAGAAAACAAGTCGTCGATTGCATTTTTGTCCTTTTAATGCGAAAGCATTAACGTCCTATGGAACGAACCGGCGTTATCAGGTTTTCAAGCCGCGCCAAACGGCACCTGAACTGTCCTGTCCCAATAAAGCGAAGCCTGCAGTGTTGTCTGTAACAGCAATTTGATGGATAGGCTCCCATTGGCTGGCGCGCGTCATAATTTATAAGAACGCCACCCCACGGCGCTGCGGGCCCCGCGCCCGTGAATTACGAGAAGTTCTGGAGCGACAACAACGAGCAGTTGGACAACAAGGTCAGCTGTCACGGAAATGTGGCTAAGGAAGCCGTTTAGGGAGACGTAGGATGGTTTAGCTTCGAAGCCAGCGAAGCGACCCGCAAGATATGCTATGATGCACGACTCCACCACCTGGATCGAAACCGTTGGGCCAAAACACTTTTTGTGTACTCACATGACTGGGACGAAAACAACGTGGCAGAAGCGCCTCTATCAACTCCAAAAAAGTATGGCTTCTTTACAGAACCCTTAGAGGCAGTAACGGGTGATAGGTTGGAGGCCAAAAAGAGGAGCAAAGTACGTGAGAGGGAGGTCTTCCAGTGGCTTGAAGCCGCTCAAGCAAAGCCAACGCTACTGCTGTACAGCACAAACAAGCAACTGATCGCGGCTGAAACCCTGCTCTAGGACAACAACTTGGGAGCCACCTTCTGTTCGAGGCGCGAGCGGGCGCTCTACGAACTCTGGTCTACCGGGAGCGGCTTGACCTCAAGGTGGTTTCCACGATGTGCCGCGCGTGCAGAAAAGTACCTGAGGCAGTTGAACACCTAGTGATCCTTTGTGAGTGCCTGCTGCCACCCCCACTGGTAGATCGACGGCTTCACTCCGAGGCGATGCTACCATGTGCACTGGGTTTTAATACGACGGCTGACTCAAACAACCTCTGTACGGGCGGAGCAGACGACCCTCCACAAGACAGGCATGACATCTGTACCGTGCAGTGCGTACGAAGGACGAAAGCGTTTCTGAAACACTGGTAGGAGAAAATTTAGGACAACAGAAGCTTATAGGTTTTTTTTGGATATGGAGTGAAGTAACTTCGAGCTCACCCGTTATAAAGAAAAAATTCGCATCATTATCATCATCATCATCATCATCATACGTAAAAGGAACACGGTGGCGCGCGCTCGGCCGCTTCTGCTCCTCCCGCCGCCGACGAACATGGCGGTACCTCAAACATCTACATGGTGTCAAAAAATATAAAAAATTACACTTTTCTTTTTTTTTTTTTACCAAAATAAACTAGGCATCGCCACACGCTCATTCTCCGCCGAAAGGTAGCGCTAGAGGTCACGACAAGATGCCAAAGTTTCAGCCCGATCCGATACCTTATTCAAAAGTTATAAGTGATTTTCTAAAAATTTCAATTGGAAAATGGCCGCCGACGGAGTTTTCGAATACCTGGCGCGCGCCAGAAACCGAAAACGGGCAAAAATTGGCTCCCTTTTCTTATTGAAATTTTCATAAAATCACTTATAACTTTTGAATGAGGCATCGGTTCGGGCTGAAACTTTGGCATCTGGTTGTGACCCCTAGCGCTACCTTTGGGCCGAGCATGAGCGTTCGGCGATGCCTAGTTTATTTTTGCGATAAAAAAAAACCCTGTTAGTTTTTTTGTTTTTTTTTTTGTGGCACCCTGTACATCGGCGGTGGCAGCAACCTTGGCAGTAGCGAAACCTGCCCGTCCACGCAAGTACACCGCAGACGAACTAAGGGAGCGGAATAATGCAGCACAACGAGCGAGGAGGCAGACAGCGTAATCTACCATCCTTGTCAAGTCTCCGAATACACGGGGGCGGTATACGAGCAGCGGCGCAACACGCTAGGAGACAGAACAAAGCTGTCGAGAATGTGGACGAGACCCTTCGACAATGCGAGCCGGAAGTGATATGTCACAGGCGTCATGCTTTCGCGTTCACAAACTCATAAGAAGTGCTTAGGTGTCCTCGGACTTCTTTTTGGTTATTCCAAAGGTTATGTTTTGCTTACCACTGCAAATACCTTGAATCTCTACTAGCTGCCAACCAGTTTTTTTACCTTTCTCCTCACAGCGGTTATGATTTGTCTCATGATAGTTAAAGGGGTCATGAAACGATTTCCCTACTTCTCCCTCCTTAGCTTTAATCCTCGACTCAGATGCGAATTATGAAATCACGTTGTCGTGACATTAGGGAGTTTTAGAATAACGTACGCAATTTTAGCGCACGCTAGCGCTAAATTTAGCGCTTGTATTAGCGCACGTGACGCAGAAGAGTTTTAAGGCCCATACGCACATTCGCGTTTGAACGCGTTTGAGTGCGTTGCGGAGTCCTTGCGGCCAGGCGCGGTCGCTTGCAGAGCGACGCGCGCCTTCCAGCAACGCTCGGTAGCGCGACGCAAGCGAGTAGAGACTCGCTCAACTTTCCGAAGCGTTGCGGTGCGTTCGGGTGCGTTCGACCAATCAGAAGTCGAAAGAGGAGGGGGGGTGACGTGTTCGCTCGCCCCACCCGGCCGACTCGGCGAGACGTATCCGGTTCGCCGGTCGTAGTGCTTGCTTTTTCGTTTGGGGAGCGGTGGGGACTGTATTTTCCAAGGCTGCGATGGTTGAAGCTTGACAAAACGCCGGGGAAGCCGGCGAGATTGTCCCAAGATCGAACACTTCGACGCTGTCGCCGTGCGCCGCCATGTTGCCTTGGATTTCGCTTACTATTGGTGAGCCACTAGCGACGATAGCGCGTTCTTATTGGCTCTTGACTGCGGTTGACTGCGTGTCAACGCAACTGTGCGTACAAGTTTGGCGCAAGCGGTCTTCGCAACGCAACGCGTCCGCTTGCCGCTACGGAACGCACCGCGCTCAAACACTAATGTACTGTACGTAAGGGCCTTTAGAATAGTGTTTCTCCGCCGCGACGCAAAAGCCCAAGCATCTCGCGCTTGCGACGCCACCAAGATACAGTAAAAACTTTTATTTCACACACGAAATGATGTAACTTTAGAAAAGAAAACGAGTTTTTTTGGTCCAAAGTAGCATTTTAATTTGTTTAAATATGAGAACGCGACGCGAGCGGTTGACCGGTCGTGTCCGCTTGCGTCGCCTCGGCAAGAGAGGTCTCGTGTACTGACCTTCGCCGTGAAATGTTCGCGCGTCGCAAGCATCAAGTTGCCGGTGATCGCTGCCAAACCGAGTACAATTTCGTCCCGTATTGAAAATTGCAGCCGCGAGGATGCCGCCGACGTCACACCCACGACGCCGCCAAAGCAGCCGCCGACATAATCCTGGAAGCCGCCATTTTTTTTTAACGGTGCTCGTCTTGGCTTTAGCCAACTTCTCATCATATATCCTCCTTGGAGAAGCGCAAAGACTCTTTGCGTACGCACGCTATTTCCGAGAAATAGCGCGCGCTAAAATTGCGCACGCAAAGCGCAAAACCTGGTTTGCGTTCGGAGCATGCGCAGTGGCGACGACGCTATTCTTTGCGTACGCAAAGCTTTAGCGTGCGCTATTCTAAAACTCCCTATTCTTCGGCACCGGTACGATGACTCCTCGCTTCCACCGTGCTTTTTAGCACACCATAGAACTTGTCATTCCCCAGTGACGATAAGTTCCGTCAGGGCACTCATTGGCCACGAACGCGAATCCGAATATTCGTCGACGGATTTATTGTTGACGAGCGCATACGTCCGAGTGACGTAGTTCTCGTGTCCAATGCGTGAGCTGGGCTCGGTTGACGTCAGGTTGGCACCGCTGACGCGCTTTGGGAACCGCGGGTGTATCGTAGTGAAAAGGTGGAGAGCTTTCGAAGGAAAGAAGCTACAAAATAGCTCGCTATATTTTCAAATGTTCGTACCGAAAAGCTGGCTGTTGACTCTCTACCCTCCTTCTTTTGGCCAACTAAACGATGTGCGATTACTAAAGTCCCCATTTAAAATCATTCATTCCAGCGCAAAATTCCTTCCATGGCCCCTTAAATATGATTTCCTAAATTTTGCACGAAATCTGTAAATCGCTTTATACATAGAAAAGATATCATTTATATTGCATGCATGGCAAGGAAAGGGTGATAAAAATTCATTAGCTTCCAATATTAAAAACATGCAATGGTTTACGAAGTATGTTGTTGTTGTATCGGTGCAGTATTTCCCATAGGTGGTTTGTCATGCATACCACGGTCAGTAAAGATGAAACCGTGTTTTTCGCAACAATGGGGTACACTCTTTGCAACGTGAAGGCCACCGTGCAATTAGGAGCAAAAACGTTTACACTTACCTCAAGAATTTCGTGCCTCCCTACCTCACGTATAAAGTCAAAGTTGAAAATTCTAGTCTTCATTGTCTCTTTTCTGTTGGGACCTATAGCAAAAGAGTAATGGACCTCCCAAGGAACGGCGAGCGTTTCAGTTGCAGATGTATCCATCGCTTTTTTTAAGTCTGCAGCGAGAGAAATAAAAGTCAGGTGCCGTTTTGATGGGGACAACCGATATTGAACAAATACACAAGCAAGTTGTTATTTGGAAGGTCTTAGTTTTGTTTCTTACTCGTGCAAACCCTAGAACACCCGCACGTAGTTTAGGTACTGAACATAATCTCTCAGAGAGAGGGAGAAAGCAAGATGGAGAGAAAGAGATACTTAATTTATTTACATAAGCGAATATGTGAAAGGGAGTTTAATGCTAATTTGCTCCTTCGCGAAAAAAAAAAAAGAATTTCTACAAATAAACGGCTATGCCAAAACTATGCTTTTGCTTTATGCGCAGCAGTTACAATTACCGACGGAACTACAGTCGGAAAAGGAACAGCGCGCTGAAGAGGCGGTGGTGTGTTCTGGGATAGGAAGAGCGAATGTCGTGCCATGGGAATATTTTTACACTTAAAGGGGTACGGACACGAAATGACGTGAGCGCGAGCTCTCTACCCTTCGCTTCAAAGTCGGCCATCAAGAAGCGCAATGCGTATCACGCTCGTAACGTCAATAGTTCCTGCACCGCCAAAGGCACTGTAGTTGCAAGCGTTACCGCTTAGTGGCGTCAATGCGTGATAATCTCTTAATAATCTCGCTTAGTAGTAATATCCGAGGAGTGCACGCCCTATGGCCTATACATAGCTTGGCCGTGACGTCATTGGCGGCCATGCCGGAATTTTTATGTGCCACGAGCATTCGGTTCTCTATGTTTGTTTCACACCCCAGTAATAGTAGCTCGAGGGAACCAGCAAGTAGAAATAGCCGCCAGTACCCAGCAGTCACGACAGCTGCAAGTCATGCACATAACGTATTCACTGGGTGCAATATTTGAGCACGCTATTCACAGCGTGTCCGGGCACGGGGGAGGGGAGGGGAAGGGAGTGGTATGGTCGGCGTGGCAGGAGCCCCAGCATCTTTAGATCAAGCTTGTACCTAACGTCTGCAAAGAACGGCGATCTTGACGGCGTGAGCGTTCCCCCCCAAGTCGCATTCAGGTCTAAGTAACTACACGAGCGAGCTATGCCACCGTGAACTGGCGCTGCTTCTAGGAACTTATGACGCGGCGGCATTCCAACTTAGCTTCACAGACAGCCACGAGACGCAATATTGAAATCTGTTCATTCGTTTTAAAATTATTTTTCTTAAGTTCTCTGCCGGCTAGTGTTTCTGGGCTGCCTGCACAACATATACCACATCTAAACAAACAAATAAGTGCAAACATTTCGTTTCCACATTCTTTTAAGTGTCACTTCACCGTATTCAAGCCTCCTATATTTTTCGCTACCAGTGCGAGAACCTCGATGCTAGAAAATACGTGTCCAGCCAGAAACGACTCTCAAAACATCGACGTTAGTCTGCCATCTGAAATTTCGCCTGAACGACGACTGCAAAGCTCGTCCTTGGGTTTCTCTGTTACCCCAAAATTACGCTTTTGGGTTTCTTTGTTACCCAAAAGTTGCGCTATGTCATACCTATACTCCATAGCTCGCAGTTGAGGCGACTATGGCGGGTCTGTCCAATAACTGCCTCGAAGTCACCGTGGGGAGGGTATGGGGAACAACTTGGCTAAGCAGTGAATCCGTAAAAGACGTGTTTATTGACCTTTAAAACAACGCTATTTTTCCCATATCAACATTCGCAGTATCCACGCTGCTTCGGCTGACGGAATCTGCGTTTGGACTGCGCGAGGCCACACTATGGTGACAAACAGCTTAATATCTCATTCACACGACCGTAAAGGTGCCTTTAGCTAAGGGAACTTCATTCTCTGCGCCCAATCAATTCACAATCTTCCGCGCGTAGCGTGTGCTCGCGACCCAAGAGCACAGGCTGATTCGCCGATAGCAAAGGAACCTATGTTAAAAGTACCTTTATGTTGACCATGTGAATGGGGTATTAGAAAGGCAGGACGTGGCTTAAATATGCTCAAGCTCCTCAACTCGTGATCTGTTTTTCAGCGTTCTTACTGGCTGAGGCCGCGATATCACTGACTGAGAATGATAACGAAATGCTCGAGACTCGCCGCGTTCTGCGTTTCTTAGGTCTTCAGTGACTATGTGGATTAAAACCAAGCGGAAAGATCGCAACGAGAAACGTAGCTCCCTGGAGCAATTCCCACTCCGAAGAGAGTTCCCGGCCACAATTGGGGTCGGCCTTTATAGCCTGTGGAAAAGGCATGCTTCCGGTGTGTCGGTAGTAGTATAGGATAAAAGCGCTTAAAAAATGATGGACAAATCAAAGGACGGCGAACACCAGAGAGCGCTTTTATCCTATACTACGCCGACACATCAGACAATCAATGCGAAAATAACTCGCCACACCTCAAAACGTAGCAGTTGGGGCATCACGTAATTGACGCAGGCATTGAACGAATTGTACTTTTGTGCGAGGATTTTTAGGCTAGGATATTGAACATGATTTTGTTTTTCTTTGGGAGAATAGAATTACAAATAACGTGCTAATACAATGAGTTCAATAATGGCATTAGAGTTGCGATGTTTGTGACGTTACAGTAAATGCACCTAAGAGCTACGAAAATTTGCTTTCACTGACTGTATAATCGTAGCACCTGTAGTGCAAGCTACTCTTTTTTTTTGTCTCGGCTAGGCGTCACATCAGAATGAATGCGCTAGGCGTCAGTTTTTAGATGTGTCAGTGGCGGCTGAACAACCTAGAATTCCTGTCGATCTATCACCTCGTCCCTGAAACCTTATTTCTACTACTACTTTAAGCATAACTACCAACTGCTTATTCGCACACTTCAAACTTCGACACAGGTTCCATCTTCACGGGAGAATGCGATCTCCCCAACATCGAGGAACAAGTCACGGTGGATCACCTTTTATGGGGAAGCGCCGCCACTTCAAGCGTTAAAAGAAAAATCTTCAGACGACTAGTGCCACAACTTTCAGCGCGGCCTATAAAGAATGGACACGTTCCAAGAGAAAACACACAGACAAAAAGGCACTGTCGGGGTCCCTCCTGAACTTTTTTCGAGAGGCCAGCATCCGCCATCTCTTCTAGCATCTTTTCCCCTCCCATTTTTCTCCATTTTCGATCCCCACCCTGCTGCGATCGGGGCTCAAGGTTGTGAAGGAAATTATTGAAGTGTCTCAAGAAAACAAGCAAGCAAATCCAAACTGATAAAAACATAACCTCGCGCACCATGTGATATTCTGAGAATTCGTTTAATGGTTTCAATACTCAAAGTATATTCGTTTAAACTGTTCTCACCAGTAATATCAGATGGAAATCTGGTTGACGTAAGTATCGGTGCTGGTGTGGTCTGACCAGGAGTTTTTAAGTCCGGGTGTGTTTCGTTTACTTGAAAGGAAACAAAATCATATAATATGAAAACAAAATCATCAGAATTACGATAATCTAATTCGTAAGACGGCAACCCGCGTTATGAGTATTTACTGCCGATATATCTCCAGACTCCCTACCCCCCCCCCCCCCCCCCCCCCCCCGAATAAAAAAAGAAACGAAAATGTACAAGGAAAACGCATTGCCGAACGTTCACTCTCCACCCAAAATGTAGCTCTAAAGGCCCGAGCCAGATGCTAAAGTTTCAAGACTAACCGTTATCCTTTTCAAAAGTAATAAGTGATTTTGTGAAATCTTCAATTGCAAAATGGCGGTCGACCGTGCTCTCAAATTCATGGAGCTCTACGGTACAAGTTACCAAAAACGGACAAAAATGGGCCCCATTTTACCACTGAAGATTTCGAATTCACTAATAACTTTTCAATAAGATAACGGTTAGTGCTGAAGCTTAAGTACCTGGTTCTAACGTCTAGCGCTACATTTGGGCGGAGAATGACTGTTTGGTGATGCATAGTTTATTTTTACAATAAAAAAAGAAATCAAGAAGTTTTTTGGGGGACGCGTTGTAGATCCGCAGAAATCGCAATACTATCTCTTGAAAAGTTAATTTTTTTTATTAAACTGCTAATACGCATCTGGTAACCCTGAAACATGTTCAGCCAGGTTTGCGTGTGCCTTTTAGATACCATTGTCTTCTTGAAATTGGCATTAGTTATGTCTGGCATTTGGTTAGTGTGATGAAAAACTATTGGCGACGTGAGCAATCGAAAGCGTCACTGTGGTTGGCCTGCCACGATTGACCGAATGCTGATTATGACGTTAGCAAGGATTTCTCATCGACGGAATAAGAGTAATGTAAGAACTTCACTGGCCACGGAAATAATAAAACAAACTCGGGACGCCGAGTGATGCCATGACCGCGGGGCGTGCGCTTTAAAGCGTTCTTCAAAGGATCCGGTGCGCAGTACGCGGAAAACGGTAACGGTTTGCTAAAAGTCCATTTTGAGTGTAGGTAAAGAACTGAAAACAGGCAATTAATAGCTTCTGCGCGACACAAGTGTTCAAGAAATGTTCGTCGTCCCTCGTCCCAAGTTTTATTCTTTCTGTTGCCAGTCAACGTTACCAACACGCTCTTCAGTTAACAAGAACTTCAATTTTGACGGTGTTGGCAGTATTGGTTTTAGAGCAAAAGGATTTCAAGCTTCCACCATGTTCATTACAAACACTGTCGAACTTGTTGTTCGCAAGGTAATGAAGTCAGAAGAGGAAACCATCGAAGGGCGAAACCCAAACATCGCACCGCCAATAGACCGATCTCATTAAACGTTCAGCGCATGCGTGACGCCGTCATAACTTTAGTTCACAGGAGGCAGACGGCCGTGCCAGGGCCGTGCATGCGAGGCCTCGCGCCGTCTCGTGCACCACGCGCTCAGAGCTCCAGCAGGGTTGTCGCAAGCGCAGAAAGACTAAAGTTCCTTCGATGCATTGTGGCAGCGGTGGCGTAGCCAAACTGGCTGGTGAGAGTGCCCTATGCGTGCAAGCACGTGCAACGTGCACGTGAATGTAGCTTTGGCAAGCTTGTAATCGCAGTGGCGTGCCTGGTCGAGCAGAGACATGGCGGCGGCCAGTCGCCCAGCTTGAAATCGTCTATTGGGCAGGAGATCCAACTATAGGGGACGCTTTACCGAGCTTGTTGTCTCTAGTGCCACTAAAGAAGCTACACTTCAGAGTAACGACACTTGGCCATATTCTGTCTTAATATCATGGTTTCCAGTTATCTGAAGTTTTATCTGAAATCACAGGAAACACTTATCCGTCCTCCACAAATGTTTAAACAGTTCGTGACAGAGCAAAGCAATATTACATGAGCTTACTAACACCGAATCTAATGCTGAGGAAGTCGCACTTTTGGGAACATGACGATCGGAAGTTGCGCCCGCTCTGCATACGAGCCGAAATGGCGGCGCCCACAAGAATCTCGGGGAACGCAGTGCCGATACTCTAAGCGCAGCTCATTTAGTGGTTCTATTTGTCCCCATAGCCCGGTGTTTACTAACACAGTATAACAAAGAAATGGAACCTCGCCTAGCACGGTGTGGGCACGTGCTCTTCGTTCTGACAAGTGCTTTAGTAGCACGAGGAGCCTCCTTCAAATCGTTATCTTTGATATCTTGGATAAAAAAAAAAAACAAAAAAAAAACAAGGAGATAAGGTTTCTTGCCCCCAGAGCTGAAGCGTACAGCTAGAGGCGTGACCGTTCGATTTCCTCCCCAATAGGGAGTATTCACTGGACGCCATATTTGAGGGGATGTTTAGAGCGCATGATCGGAACGAGCTCACGTTAATTGGCTGCTAAGAACGGCAATCTTGGTGGTGCGAAATGCACATGGCGAAAGAACTGTGGAAGCACGCCGTCAGCACGCGCTCAACAGTCGCGCACATAGCTATGGCCGCCAGTGAATACTCCCTATAGGCGGTGACATATTAAGAACCCAGTGGATGCTCGGCCTCGAGCACGAGATCTCTGTTTTTGATACCATGCACTTCGTCGGACGCGCAGCCAGATCGTCGCGGACTGCAACGACCGCGTGCCACGGAAGCGGAGTTTCCTGGTTCTTATAACCCGTCATTAGGGACTCTTAAAGGGGTATCCACACGAAGGAGAACTCCGCCACTTTCCTCCGCGGATCGCGCATCATGTGAGACATACGTCATCCCTTTTTGACGCCTCGCGGCGCGTTCTCCTCCGTGGCGGAGGCGCGGAGGCTTCGTGCTGACAGCACGAAAGCTCCGCAAGTGCACGCGGCGGAGCCGGGGACGGAGTTTCCCGGGTTGTTGACGTCACGACATCCGTCCGCGGAGTTCTCCTTCGTGTGGATACCCCTTAAAGGGGTATTCACACGAGGGAGAAATCCCGGGGATTTCTCCCCGGCACGCGCGCATCGCGAGATGAAAACGCGAGGCTTTTGCACATCGCAAAGCCTGACGTTTTCGTCGTGGGATGCGCGTGCCGGGGAGAAATCCCCGGGATTTCTCCCTCGTGTGAGGTATTCACACGAGGGAGAAATCCCGGGGATTTCTCCCCGGCACGCGCATCCCACGACGAAAACGTCCGGCTTTGCGATGTGCAAAAGCCTCGCGTTTTCATCTCGTGATGCGCGCGTGCCGCGGAGAAATCCCCGGGATTTCTCCCTCGTGTGAATACCCCTTTAAGGGGGATCCACACGAAGGAGAACTCCGCGGACGGATGTCGTGACGTCAACATCCCGGGAAACTCCGTCCCCGGCTCCGCCGCGTGCACTTGCGGAGCTTTCGTGCTGTCAGCACGAAGCCTCCGCGCCTCCGCCACGGTGGAGAACGCGCCGCGAGGCGTCAAAAAGGGATGACGTATGTCTCACGTGATGCGCGCTCCGCGGAGGAAAGGGGCGGATTTCTCCTTCGTGTGGATACCCCTTTAGCAGGCCCTTACCGTGTTCCGCGTACCGCACTAGCAGAACACTGAACACGTGTTCCGCTGTTCTGTCTTTCGACCTCATCGACATGGTCATTCGCTCTTTGCACCTCTGCGTGAAGGCGCAGTCGATCCACCTCTCCTCCACGCGCCCAAAATGCCGAGAGAGAAAGCAAGTGGAAAGGAGGTGACTAGAAACTAAATCGAGTCTCGCTGCTCTAAATTTTTTTTATTGCTTAAAATTAATTTTTTGACACACGTGTCCCAACCAGACTGTAAAAAAAAAAAAAAAATTGTTTTCTTTTCAGGTTTTTTTTTAAGCACGCTTCCGTCCTCCTGTAAGCTCTACATTTCAGCGTTAGGAAGGTTATAGAAAAGTAAAACTCACAAGTCCATATAACCACCGGTCTAAGAAAGACCTCAGGTGCACCTGGTTTTTCAAACATGGAGAAATTAAAGCCGAACACCCTAGAAGACATGCCTCGCACGTCATAGACATCTCTGGTTTTCACGCTTGCCATTCGTCTGAGAGTCAGAACATCTCGCAAAAAACTGTATTTCCTCTCATCAGGTCCATAGAGTATCGACAGAACGTTTTTTTGCTTGTTTGGGTCCCAGTCTTCATTTGGCGGTTTTTCACATGTTGTCACGTTTTCTACATAGCAGGAAGATAAACAAGATCACAAGCACTATTACTTTTGGTGTGGTTGACGGAGTTCAAAATTTAGAAGCATTCTGAAAGCTAATAGTTGAACTGCTGTGAAGGCAAAGACGCCTTCTCTCAATAACTTATCGTAACGAAAAAAGCGATCTGATTATCCAGTTGATTTTTTTTTTGCAGGACTTGATTTTGTTTAATGGTACAGGATTGGTATAACTACATAGCAAATTTATTAAGAACCCCAGTTATATACAACTCTATATACTTACGTATAAAACACTTCACGCGTCACTTGATTGTTCCTATCGTCGTATGGGGGTTGCACATAAAACAGAAATAAAATAACTCAGTCCTGATTGACTGTGCCTTTTGGAGTGCTATATCCCCAAATTCACGTTACAAAAAATGTCCCAAGAAATAAGCCAACATAAAAATGTTCGCATATAAAACTACACAATGTGTTACAAAAAAAAATTTAGTTTTAACGGGTTTGGAACATTTACTTTAAAATATTGTCCGGCGGAGCCCTATACACTGTGATCTTTCCGAATGTTAAGGGATCATTCCCCATTTTATTAAAACGAGTGTTCTTACCAAAACTGCGAATGACATATTTCTTTTTGAGGTTTATGTCGTAAAAAAACGTGATGATATCATCAGCCTTCAAAATGCGAAGAGCAACTTTCCGATTAACGGCGTCGTAAATTTCTTCGAAAATACTGGTCTCCTTCAATTTATTTTCTTCTTCAACAACAAAGTCTTCTCGAAAGATTTCGCCAGATGCATAAAATGAACCGTCGTAAAGGGGAAGCGCTGAAAAGAAAAACACACACACGCAACACATTTCATTAAAGGGGCTCTGACAAGGTATTTATACTCGCCGAGGTTTTTATTTAAACATGAGCTATAAGAGCTCAACTACCCAGAACACAATTTGCGGCTCGAAATCCGAGTGACATTTCGCTCGAAAACAGTCGGTTTAGAATTGGCCAGTTTCAGTCGCGCTCACTATATTTCCATGGCGTGTGGCGTTCAAACTAAAGCGTGCCAAATATATTCAAAGCCGTGGGTCATATAAGGCACATATTCAATATTAAAAATATAAAACAAAATAAACCCCGTTTCTGTAGCCCCCCCCCCCCTCAAAAAAAAAAAAAAAAAGAAAACTGCAAATACGTTGAATAAAAAAAAATATGTTGCATAAATCACAAGAAATACATGTACTACGACATTCTCAATATGGCGACGTACCCCAGGCTGGACCACGAGGTCGAGGGCTGGACGACGCGATGGCGGCGCACGTCCGAGGAACGTTGCGACGGACGTGAGGCCACTACATCGGAACTGTGGTTCCTGGTACCGGGCAATCGATCATCAAGCGCAGAACATCGAGCGGAAGGGATATGAGTGTGAAACAATTGCATGACAAAACGTGCACGCAACGTTGTCGTCGTCGTCGTCATCGTTTGCTTCACAAGCCGGAGAAGAGGAGAAAAAACAAAAAAACGTGGTCTGGTATGTACGTAGCCACATGATTTCCTCAACACTCTCCTCCTCTATCTTTGTCCCGCCTCCTCGGTACACATCGTTCGCATGTCGCGACCACAAGCTGTCGTGCTCACGTTTCGGTTTCGGTTTCAAGCAGTTGAGTTTTTTTTTTTTTTTTTTTGTTTTATATAACTATACCTGACTCTCTTGGCATGATATTTATTGAATAGTCTCCTGGCACCACATTAAATCGCGTGACACAGTTTTTTTTTAATATGATGAGTGTCAGCGTTCCTTCAAGTCTACAGATTATTATTTCTTTATATATTTAATTAATTAATTAATTAATTAATGTATTTATTATCTCTTTAGTGCCCACGAACAGCTATGGAGGCTTTTGTTAGGTGTATTATAGCTCGTGTTTCCAGCAACACATTACTACTGTCTAAGCTGTATAAGCTGAAGAAGTACTCCTGTCTAAGCTGGGGAATAAAGCAGATGTGCTGATAGAGATTAATATTGACAACCCAAAATATAAGGTAAACAATAAAATGAATAAACGACTTTCCTCAGGGTTGTTAGACCTTTTATACGCAGTATGCATTAGCTGTAATGTGCACGTCACTGGAAAGGTTTCCCCGGGCTAAATATGAAATGGCGAAGAGTAATCCAGAGGAAAATAAAATTTCCATACATTTATTTCGGAGATTGCATTTTCTATATTTCGCCATTGTATTGCTTAGACTATTGAGCACGGTTGTAAAGTTCCTTCGGCTCTATCACCGATTAAAACGCTTTGTTGACGTATTTTCAATATGTTGTAGGGCTGATAACGCTATATGACTTGCGTCTAGATGGGCCCCACTGCGCTTGTGAAATTAAACTGCAGGAAAATAAATGCCACTTTGTAGTCTAACGATAAATTTCTTAGAAAAAGTTGTTTGGTTTTTTTGTTGGCATTCAAGTCAGGCTAGTTTCATTGTGTTCAAATTAGGCTAGTTAAATTTTATTGAAAAGCTTGTGTTATATTTTTAATAATTGTTGTACTGTTTCGTTTTCGCTGTTCTAATGTGCTCCTTCTTTGAAGTTCGGCGTAAGGTAAAATCGTTGGCGGCGTCAGGATTTGAACTCCAGGACTCCTGATTACCTGCCAGGCATACTAGCCACCACACCAGACCAAGCCGATCCAGTAGTAATTGGCGGTGGTACCATTCTGTGGGAGGTGCCTATAGCGAGTGGTGTAGTTGGTGTCTGATGTTGTTAATATTTTGGAAAACAGAAACATGTTTTTCGGGGAAAATGAAGGGAACAAAAATACATATACCATTTAAGCCCTTTGAATTTTTTTTATTGCTTTACTTAGTTTTTTTTTTAATGTTTGTGGTGAATTTTGAATTTGAGAACAATGCATAGTTGGTCCTGAAACTTTTCCGTTTTTTATCCTTCTTCTTCTGCAGGCATCGTGAGCAACTTTTGGATTTCGGCCCATTATTTATGGGAATAAGTCTTCCTCGATTATAAAATAAAGAACAAAAAAATGTTTGCTTACGTGGACCATTTTTTCCCTTAGCAAAATATACAAGTTTGTGGTTTCCCTGAACTCTTACGTCGTCTTCCGAAACATGTGTGCAGAGAGATTATCACACGTGAGGGAGAGAGCTTTTTCATATGTTCTCAAACGCACTCGAACGTAAACTCCCTTAGTTCTCCGGTTGTCCGGACGTCTTCGCCTTGAGTCAGAACAATTTACAATCTCCGATTCGATCACGTCAGAACACTACAAGAAGTCGGAATCGCTGATGTTCGCGGCGAGTAGCCGAATTCGGAAGATCAATAAAAAAAAATTGTTAGCGCAAATTTTTTCCCGTTCGTTGCAGAAGCAGCAGAGAGGGGGCGGTTTTGTCGACTTTGGGTAGGTGGCGCCGCAAGTGCACGTGCACGACTTGTTCATACGGTACAATGAAACCCATGACGGCGTCATGCCGTGGTTTTCAGGACATAGCCGCAACCTGCGGCCACGGGACGAGAAATAGTCAGGTTTTGGTTTTGCGATGACACGGTGGAATCGCACTATTTGGGGGAAATCAACTTGTTTTCTTTTGTTTGTGCTAAGATAAACGAAAGAAAAGTATAGCACGCTACAGAATCTTGAATGATTAAAATCGTTTCATCGGCCTCTTAAGGTCTTTGAGCAGTGATAGAGTGCAGGCGAGCTGGTAAATAATTGACATCTTGTAGATTCTGAGATGGGGGAACAATGAAAAAAACGGACGAATACAACAAAATTTTGTTGTCTTCGCCCGCTTTCGTCATTGTTCCCCTTCCCGGGGTCTACAAGATGTCGATGTTTTTAAAAGTGTTTGGGTCGCATCGTAATTTTGTTTTTATATACACTGATTTTTAATACATTGCATTCCAGGTAGCATTTGCATGTAATCAGCAATTTAGTACAACATTTGTTTGCACCGCCAAAATCGCCTACGCTTCTGAAATTTACATTTACGTTTGGAATGAAAAGCGCCATAATTCAATGCATTGCAAAATAAAAATTCCACGCGATGTTTAAATGCATATCCTATTGGAAGTGTGACGTATATCACATTTAAGTTTATTGAACTCTACGAATAAAATCGAAAGCGGTATTTTTTTCACATTAACTGTAAAGAATATTTGAAAGCATAGAATGCATTTTAACGGAAAACTCCAATCTTAGAAATCGGTCATTTCATCTGTCTGTCCGTGCCTTTATCCTCTAAATTTAACGGGGAAAATGGTTTCACGTCACCTTATATCACGTTACCTGACAGTGATTTTGTTTCGTCCTTAAATTAAGCACAGAAATTGACGTCACGCAACCTAAATGCCAATACAGTTTCCCCCCGAATGCGGGTAAACTGACCTTAAGCGACCTCACCTTGCGTGACCTATACATCAATTAGGCCTCCTGGCTAAATTTACCTGGGAAAAGAACTTCATGTGACCTATACACAAATCCCGTTTCCCGGCTATTTTTAGCAGGCAAATCGACGTCGCATGGTCAGTTTAAATTCGCCACTAAACTTATTGGGCCAATTCACGTCCCGTAACCTATGAACCAACACGCGGATCTGACGTCACGCTCCTGCGGTGGCGCTGTTGTCGCCACGGCGCATGCGCAGAAGCTTCACCTTATGCGGTTCTGGTTTCTGAGCTTGCGCAGTGCCCACACCTGGTGTGGGCAAATGCGGGTTTGTTTGTAAACAGCGTGTCGGTCTATACACAAAGTAAGGTTCTCCACTATATTTAGCAGAGAAATCGACATCATGTGACCTACGCACAAATTCAGTTTCGCCGTAAACTTTAGCAGGGATATTGATATCACGTGATTCATGTGCCAATTCACGTTGTCTGCTAAGTGTTGCGAGAAAATTAATCAAGAAATATAAGTTCTTCACTTCCCGAAAAGATTGTTCAATGTCTTCTAAACACTTATAAGGACTGCTTGATAAGTATTTCAATCCATGCCTTATAGGACATTAAAGATAAATAGCGCTGCCAATTTTTTAACTGATTTTTAATTATTGTGATATGTCTTGCAATTTCGTTACCTTGGTTAGCATGGTATGCACCTGAGAACAAATTATTCTTGAACCCGAAAAAAAGCGACCTGCCAAATATTAAAAGAGACCAGTCTCGACATTTTATAACAAATGTAAATTTTAATTTCCTTCTTCCTGTGCTGCCCAGAAGACGATATAAATTCAGCAAAGCTTAAGAGTGGCTAGGAATAAAAAAAATTACATACCGACACAAAATTTTATAAATACAGGGTGTCCCAAAAGAAAATTTACACGGTCTTCTTTACCGTAAAAATAAACTAGGTATCGCCGAACGCTCATTCTCCTCCCAAAGGTAGCGCTAGAGGTCACAACCAGATGCCAAAGTTTCAGCCTGATCCGACAACTTAATCAAAAGTTATAACTGTTTTTCTGAAAACTTCAATGGGAAAATGGCGGCCGACGGAGTTTTCGAACACATGGGTCTCTATAGCACCAGAAACCAAAAACGGGCAAAATTTCCCATGGAAATTTTCAGAAAATCATTTATAACTTTTGATTAAGTTATCGGATCAGGCTGAAACTTTGGCATCTGGTTGTGACCTCTAGCGCTACCTTTGGGCGGAGAATGAGCGTTCGGCGATGCCTAGTTTATTTTTGCGGTAAAAAATACTGCAAATTTTCTTTTGGGACACCCTGTACATTAAAGCGCCTCATTTAGGAGCCTGCTACATTTAAAAAGGGCGTGTCGGTCTGTCTTGGCAGTTGGTTTCGTTTGGTAAGTAAATTTTGGCTCCTTGAGATTCGAAGAAGCTTACACGCGCCCAGTGTTGTTCTGTATATTTTCTCACGGCCTTATACCCCAGCTGCTCGAAGCATGGGTTTAGTCGCGTCCTCCGCAGTTGTAAGCGGCAACGACGGCAACACACCTTCATGTCTTTCGTTTATATGCGCTGGAATATGCCTCTACGAAGCGCTTGTGCGTTCGACGGTCCCGAAACTACAACGGGACGAGATTCATCACTGACCGTAATTTTTAAAATCTACGTAAGAAGTATGTTTTGCTCCTCTTAACATTCGATTGCTCTTTGGTCCCTGGTGGATCGAGTAGACTGTCTGGGATTTAGAGGATCGGAGCGATTTTCACTGTTGCATAGAGGGCATTTGTCACAATTTTCAGGTATTTGGAAAAAAATAGCGCCGATTTTATCCCTGAAAGTTCTGTGTATCGCAGTAAGCTTTGTAAGCTGACATCGATTAGATACTAAGGTCGGCTTCCAGACGGGATGTTTAGGCGAGATGATCCCGCTAGGAGCCGCACTGTGCCACCACTGTCCTGTCGCACGTTTCCAATCATGGTCTGAGCGGCAGAATTTCTAAGAAATGACTTTAATTCCACTCACTTTTGTTATATAAAACCATGATGTAAACGAACCGGCATTGGGTACTAGTGAAAATCGTGAAGCATACATCAAGCAAAAAGTGGTTAAATCGACCAACCTCGAGTTAACGAGGTGCACACATCTCTTCCCGACCTCTCACTCTTTGGACTCGGTTGACGCAGGTGACGTACCTGCCTTGTTCGCAACGCGGCATGTGGCGCATGGCGATAACGGCAACATATTGCAGCTGATTTTACGGCTACGCAGTATATATATGTGTATATATATATATATATATATATATATATATATATATATATATATATATATATACATCTGTAGAACTAGTTTATTTGCAAATACAATTGACTTTGCTGGCTTGATTTTAGTGCCCACGTACGCAAGTTGGATTCGACTTGTCGCCACTGCGCTCACAGTGCCTAATCCGCGGGACACAAATAATATTACTGATTCATTGAGTACAGTTGTTTATTATTTCAACATTGTATTGTACCAAGACGGGAACGTCACCGGTATCGCCCTTCAACCCCTAAGATTCGCAACGTTTAAATTAGGTAGTGCTGGAACAGAGGAACGAATAAGAGTATACGTTGAGCGAGAACGGCTGGCAAAATGTATTGCACACAGCCTCCGCTAAGGGATAACACCCTAGGTGGTATCCCCTAGTGGAGGCAGTGAAAATTTCTGCTTACACGCAGAGCCTACGTTGTGCCAATGGAGTTTCTCCATTGTCCGAATTGAGATTAGGGGGTTTTGGCGAAACCATTTCTAAGAAGTTCTTGAGATGACTCAAGATCTGATACTACTCAGAAAGCAAAATACACAATGGAATTCAAAGCTAATTCTAGGAAGGAACTAGTTAAGAATATGTTTTTAATGGTTTGCTCCACGTAGAGGTATCTTTTAACTGCCGCGTTAATTGCCATTTGGCGCTCTTCAGTTCTTTTCTACTGACTCGATGCAGACATTGAAACTTTACCACAAAAATCAATTACCTTGGCCTAGGATCCATTTTGGGAGCTCGCAAAGTCCCAGCAGTACAACCCAGGCAACCATTGGTGCTGCTTCACTTGGGTATGAAATCTATACTCTATAAATGAATCGCTGAAAGAATAAACAAACTTTCGTATTAGTACTTATAACTTGAGGTGTAAGGTCGGAGGCTTTACATCAATGCCTGTTTCAGGCATTAATTTGTTTGTTCTGCGTCTTCGCGCCTTTTAGAGCTCAGCTCCTAGGCTCCCGTTTCTGGCATGAGCGGCGTTGCCATCGCCGTTGGCGTAACCGCACGTTGCATTATGGGATGTAATGTGTGACGTCACGAAGGTCACGACATAGAGTTATTATAATGCACGCTAGAGGTTCAACTGGCGCTAGTGTCTATGCGACTTCCGTGACGCAAATTGAAGCAGACAGCAACCAGTCTACTTTTGCGGTGCTCCTGTGCATTCCTATGGGAAAACGCGCGTGCATTGTGCCTCTTCACCGAAAAAGAACACGGAACACTTCGGCTATTTGGGTCGTACCAAATAGTATGTACTTTGATTAACACTGTAAATGTGTAATTCCTTTAGTTAGCGCATTTTTCTTCATCAGTGAACGATGTTTAACTTTGCTACATTCCAGTCCCAAACGTGTGTGCCGCAGCAGATGTGTAAAAACAAGCGACGATTCGAAGAAAAATTACAATCGAAAAGAATGTAGGGTGTGTTCAAGGCTCGCCAGTATTCCGGTGACGCTCATATGTTGATAATATGCCAGTCCTCTCACTATATGGAAATGACCCTGTCGTGCATGAGCGGATAAAAATATTCAAATAAAGAATAAAGTACGTGGGCTATGAAAGGTGCCTCTTCGTGTTGTTTTTTCTGCCGGGCAGCTTTTATCAAGCACTTGTTCTCAAAGATTTCGAGCGTGCGGGTAATATTTTGAATGTCGAACAAGCAGCTTCGCTCAGAGCAGAAAGAATAAAGCGGTACTTATTTAAAATCGGAATAGATTACGTGGCCTTCAATTTATTTTGATCGTATATGCACATGTAGTTACTGATCCTGTGTTACTGCGTAGTTCTTGCCGTCTTGATTTCCAGATGTCCTTCGTTCGTTTGGCACGTATATCCCCCAGGCTGAAAAGCGCCGACGTCGTGTTCGCGCTAAGAGTGTCCGACAGTGCACATAAATACATGTACGAAGCCGTTTTAGCCCAGTTTTTAATGCGATGAATTTGAAAGAAAAACGCCGTAACTGACCAATTATTTCGTTGGCCTGACTGAGAAATGTTCCAAGCTACCTAGTAGGTACGGATTATATGGAATATTTGCTCTTATGATCGAGCGCAGGGAGAAAATGCACTCACTTTTTCCCTAGAAATGCATTACCGGAAGTCAATTTTCGTCTGGTTGCTGTCTGCTTCAATTTGCGTCAGCACACTAGCGCCACTTGAACCTCTAGCGTACATTATAATAACTCTATGGGTCACGAAGCTCACAAGTAACGTCACGTGTGTCCCGCGCGTTGCATTATAGGAAACGTCCCATAATGCAACGGGCGGGTCTCACTCCTGACCCACGCGTTGCATTATGGGACGCTTCCCACAATGACCTCAACGTGACGTCACGTGTGACTTCACGAGGGTCACGAGCGTCCCGCGCGCCGCATTATGAGAAACGTCCCGTAATGCAACGCGCGGGTTTACTCGTGACACGCACGTTGCATCATGGGACGTTTCCCATATTGACGTCACACGTGACGTCACGCCTGACGTCTCGTGACGTCACGTCTGACGTCACGAGGGTCACAAGTGATGTCACGACGGTCCTGATGGTTACGAGTGACGTCACGATGGGGGAGGGAAAGAGGGAGAGGAGAAGGGGAGGAGAGAATGAGAGGAGGAGGAGAGGGTATAGAGGAGAAGGTACGGTGGAGAAAGAGGAGCATAGCCTTTTCTCCGTACGCTCTCTCCTCCTCCTTAAGAGCTGTGCTCTAATTCGGCATTACAGAGAGTTGTAAACGTCTTCCGTTTTTTTTCCACTAAACGGTACATTCAATGTTATTTTTAAATATAATCGACCTGCATTTGTTTTTGCATGATGGCGATTATGTTAAAACGTCAATATACTGTACAGAAGAGAATAGCATACAGTCCTAGCCTCCCGTAAACAAATATTGTAATTCCCCGACGATTATATTTTGGTCAGCGACAGAGTTTTATAATACCTTACAGCCTAAGAAACGTAGGCCCTGACGAGTCTTCAGCTCCATATTATATCTCCGAAGTATGTCTAATCGTCGACAAGCTGATGTAAGTCTCAGGCGTTTTAAGAAAGGCGAGGTGTGCATCATTATGCTCAAGCTTCTTGGTTCGTAATTTGGTATTTAGCGTTTTCTTTATCAGTTATTAATGTTGCAATTTTATTGACTGCAAAGCGATACAAAGGGTTCTCCGAAGTCGCCATGTCCAGCGTTTCGTAAGCTGTCAGTGACCCTTGGAAATAGAAAATCGGGGGCGTCTACTTTCTCGCAAAGCACTTACACTGCAATCACTGCAGTTAACGAAGGAAGCTCGGCGAATGACGGGGCTAAAAATATGTTTAAGCCCCCCCCCCCAAAAAAAAAAAAAAAAAAAAAAAAACAGTTTGCGCTGTGGCACTGTGCTTCACCATAGTCTAGCCTTCATCCCACGACTAAACATAATTTTAGCCTCTTCGTTTCTTTGAGCTCGTTCTGTAAATTGCAGCGCTTGGATCTTCCGAATGCTTTGTGGGAGAGTACACACCATAGATATCTTAGAGTATAAATGTTAGCGGTGTTTTAAGGGTCATAGAAGAAAAGAGTCGCCTTAACAGACCTTAGGGAAGCACCTACTAATATTTAATTCGATCGTTCTTACCGGCAGTCGCCATCACTCATGGCGGTGCGCGCAATTCTTCAAATTTATTATTTGCAGTTATGGTTTCAAGTATTGACAAGCTCCACTGATTTTAGAGTCAAAGCAATTGGCGGTTGTTCAAGGTAGAAGTATGTTTTGAATAGAAATAAAAAGAAAACAATCCTTAGCTTACATGCCTTAAAATTAAACAAATAAAAACAGATTTCTTAAAGTACCTGGATGGAACATATATGGCCCAAAATAAATCTACAGTATTTTTTCTTTTCATGTAGTTTGTGTTATACGTGTCTATAGTGGGCGCTTTACTTGGTTCAAAATTTAGCGCTCCTTAAGAAAAGTTCAAGTTGCGCCTGAAGACACCGCGACGCTTTTTAAAGTGTTAAAAAAGCAAGATCTCGTTTGAGTCAATGCTGTTAAGTTTTCTTTGGCTGAACCACCCGAAGACTGCCGATGAACAGGTGAAACCTTTGCTGTCAGAAGAAATATTCGCTTATTGTAAAATCAAGCATGCTGTTAAGACCTTTGTAACCAATCAGGCACGAGCAAAAAAAGAAAAAAGACAACGTGGCGAATTTTGCATTTTACGACGAGCTGGATAGCCTTACCGGGAACCAACAACAATGCCGACCAACAAAATCGTTACAGAATTGTGTATTCAGGTGAGCTGGTTAGGATACAAGATAATTTAAATCATGAGACAAGGAATAAAATAACGAACAACATGGCACAACATGTTGTGTCATGCTGCCTTTTAGCCAAGAAGCTATTTATAATGGCAGATAATTTGGGGTAGATGAATGCTTAGCAATTTAAAATAATTAGCTTGTTATTAAGTAGATAAAGGATGCCTTTAATTAGAAGGTAGGAAACCGAAGAATATTACTAAATTATTTAATTTTAGTAACATTTACCGCGCTTACATCGCAATTTGTCGCGCCATCACACTACAGCGCTTTATCATGTTTTGTAAGTTTAGCGCACCACATTGCTTCCCACAGATCACAAATATTTCTAAGGTTTACTTATCTAGTGGTCTCGAATACGCCCAGCAATTATCTAATTGAAACTACACGTTCTTTTTTTTCAATTTTAGGTAATGATTTGGCTTATCGTTACGATTATACCGTATATTATGCTCCCCTCACCGTAGTTGCAAAACCCAAAATAAATAAGATTTCACGTTTTTTCTTTCTTACCGATTTCTAAAGTTTAAAAGAAGCATCTTTATACAGATAACAAACTATAGATCATCACAACCTTTTAAGTCATAAATAAATAGAAAGGGTTTTGAGAGTAAGGAATGGTTTAACTTGACATTACTTTTTTGCAAGTCACTGCCAAAGCAGGACGCTCTCACTAATCACGATAGGCATGTCAATTATCGGGCTGCAGGGGCTATCTCAGAGAGCATAATAATGCTGCGGACACTTCGAGGAATGTAGGGACAGTCAGCAGGCCAACTAACGTTGGTATTTTATGGTATACACTGATTAGTTCATTGTATTTGTGCGAACCCTGCTGAAAAAGACCAATGAGCGCATATCATAATGTAAATTGTGATATCAATTTATTTATTTATTTGGTCATTAGAGTACTTTAAAGGTCCTTCTGGGAAGGACATTACAGAAGGGGGAATAATATTTAGTATTTTGTTCAAGAATATACAGATTTGCTTTAAACATATCCTTAAAGCCACGCTAGCGATGTCTGTGCAGGCGAAATTTTCGGCCAGAGCGACACAATATGGGGGAACATTTGTCACTATCAAACAATAAATGCTATTTTTTTTATTAGTGAAGAGAAAGCTATACGTTGGGAAAATGAGGGAGAGGAGGAAATGAGAGAGTGCGGGACTTCAGAACGCAGAGCTCCGATTTAACTGATTAGTGGGTAAACCTAAAGCTAGCTGCCCCGGCCTCCACTGCAGTCGTCGAACGCGTAAAAACGAGGAACGCCGGCGTCCAGCGTTTAGCTCTCGCATTCGAACAGGTTCGACGGTGCAGTGGAGATAAGGGCAGCTAGCTTTAGGTCTACCCACTAATCAGTCCAATCGGGGCTCGGTGACCTGACGTCCCGAAGCGCTCTTGTCTCCACCTCTCCGTCAGTTCCTCGGCGCAGTTTTCTATGGAGAGTTGCTGAACGTAATAAAAAAAACCTGCTAAATAAGT